TGCGCGAGTCACTGGTGGGGTGGAGGCGGAAATGTGCTGGGGATGATTTCCTCCCCTTGCCGATTAACTGTGTCGGCTGCAGCCGACAGCACGGAGATCCTGTTTCCTGTTCTCTGAGAATTCACATTGACAATACTTTTCAGAAGTGCAGGCAGTACGGAAGAGATGTCAAAGCAGTGACAGAGATGGTGGGTGGCAGTGGAGTGATGGATGGATTAGGGGAAGGAGGGGACAGGGAAGTGGGAGGCGAGTGGGTTTGCATTGTGGAATGCTGAACGTACGTGATATTGATACAAGATGAGTGTTGTGTGTATTCTTGGTTTGTTTGGACAAGTCCCTTGTGCTGGATGATGCCGATCTTTTGGGCTGTCCTTCTGTCTGATGTTTTTTTTTTTTGTTGTTCTAGGTTGGTTTGGATAAGTCCCTTGTGTCGAATGATGTGGATGTTTCGGGCTGTTCTTCTGTGTGTGTGTGTTTTTTTTTTTNTTTTTTTTTGTATGTGTGTTTCTTGTAAGTGTGACAGCCTTGAGATATTATTTTATTTTTATTATTATTATTATTATTATTATTATTATTTATTTTTTTTATTTTTTGCGGGCTGCGCCACACGCTGCTGCAGCGCAATACAGAGGCAACACTGAAGGGGTCGAGTAAGCAAGCTCACCCGTACGACCCCTCTATAACTCAGAAAATATAATTTTATATCGCGTGGTCTGATGGACCACAGATCAGATATTAAACTGATTAGAAAAGTTGCTACACTTCATCTTAGCCCAGAGGCTGAGAAAGGTTAGTTGTTACATTTCAACTGACGGGCCTCAGGTAAATTTAGAGGTTTTTTTTTTTTTTTAGAGTTTTTAAAACCTTTAACTTTTTTTTCAGAGTTTTTTTTTGGGGGGAATAAGAAAAACAGATGTGTATGGGCCTGGCTCCATATCCATTTTGGGGAGCGTCAGTCCGGTTCATTATTTCACGGGCAAGTCAGAAATTACAATATGAGACATCCTCATGCTTCCTTCCGTCTGGTCGAAGGACCCCTGAACAGGATTGATTGCCCCAGCGTTGCGGAGGATTGACTGTCAGCTTGCCATACATCTACCTTTCCTCTCAGGTCCAGAGCTATCTAGACCTGTCGTATTTGTAGTGAGAGCAAGAAGGGCTAGACGATGTCGGCAGCCGCCATTACAGAACCTGACTATACCGCACCTTTGCCACAGGATTCACGTAACCTGTTGTGACCCTTGTCCACCTGTAGGCTGGAACCTCCTCAAACCCGCTTCTGAATTGTGCCAGTCTTTCCATCATAGATGAGAGGCCTGTACGTCTGCTACCATCTGATTCCATCAGAATCCATTGGGAATCCAAACTCAGGCCTGTGTTACAACCGTTCGTGGGTGATCTTATTAAGCTGGGCCAGTTTGCTGTCTGATGGATTTCTGCAGACCTGGGTTCTGCCAGTCGCGTGTGTCCGATCCTCATGCCTCTCGTCCTTGAGCCAAGTTTTAACCTTCTGGCTGCTGCTGCCGTTTTTTTTTTGAATGCGCAGGGTCCATGCTAATCTTCTCTGTATCGCTCCAATTCTAACGGATGTCCCAAGGGGTCCTTTCCTTTTTGTGGCTTCTTTTCACCACATCTTTGGGCCTCGCTCCATTACTCTCGAAATGTGCAAAAGAAGACTGAATACTATGCTACGACATGGAAAGATACATTGCTGTATTTTGTTTCGTTTGTGATTGTGGAGAGTAGTGGAAGTAGGGCCTTTGTCCATCAACCTTGTGCAGCTGGTTTGCTGCTCAGACACGGGGGGTTGGTTGAAGGGGTCATTTTGTGTACGTACCCCCCAGATTGGTGTCCTGTGCTTTGCATTGCGTCTGTGATGTATGTCTCCGGAGAAGACATTCTGTGACTGTATCACTTCTCTTTTTGCTCACCCTTGCCGATGATGCCGTGTCTGAACCCTTTTTTCCTTAACGTCAGGTGGTAGTTCAGCCACCAGTGCTTGGCGGAAGTTGCGACGGTCAAACCACCCCGGTACCTTTCGCGGCTATCGATGCGGAGCCTAAAACTGCCCTGCGAGCCAAAAAAAAAGGAACCGGCGCGGGCCTCATTTTGGCTGGCGCCACCAGCCGTTTTGTGCCGGTAGTCCCGAGCCTGCCCGCCTCCTGTGAACCGGTGGGCATTTGTTTTTCAAGCAGGGAAAGGTACTGGTGGTTTAACAAGCCGCAAGAATGATGAACGAACGGGCTTAAATTCTGGAGCGCCTAAATTCTGTGTGTCTAAAAATTGATTCAACGTGGGTTCCGCGTTGAAAAACTCAACGCCGTTGAAACGGTGTTGAATCCCCGTTGAGAAGCCGGTTAGACGGGTTACAACGGGGTCTGCGAACATTTTTTTCGTGGGCTAAAAGTAAGTAAAAAATAAAATTAAAAATATGGGGTTGTAGATGTTTTTAAGGTCTACGGCCCCATACTTTTATTTTGATTTTTTTAGCTTTGTCTGTATTTAGAAACAAAATAAAAAATATAAACACAATGGGAAAAAAAACAACAGAAGATGACATGAGTGTTTTTTTTTTTTGGTTTCACAAAGATTTTTTTGGGGCTAAAATAAAACCTGAAAAACAAATAAAAAATATAGGGTTGTAGATCTTCCAAAAATGTACAACAACATACTTTTTTTTTTTTTTTTGAACTTTCATGTATTTAAAAAAAAATCAAAAACATAAAAACAAATTAAAAAAGGAGAAAAGACACGCACACACACACACACAGACACACAACACACACACACAGACACACAACACACAACACACAAACACACATGCACACACACCAACAATCATGCACACACTCATACACACACTTAACAAACACACACACACATACACACACTTAACAAACACACGTTCCCGGTAGGTTTGGGGACGGCAGGATGGGGCGGGCCGAGGAAGGGGTATTTGGGCCTTGTAGTGGTTTAAAGGGCTTCCGGGTAGGTATGGAGACTCGTAGGGGGGGGTCAATTTTTTTATATTTCTTTCTTTCTGGTTTTGGTTTGGGTGCATAGGGCCACGTGTCCGAGGCCCAACACCCCCAGTCCGTTTTTCCAGATTCATCGGGAGAACCCCATTTTCCCTTTAAACGGGATTCAACGGGGGCTCCGGGGGCTATTCAACGGGTACAACGGCATTTAATTCCGTCCGTTGCCCGCTGTTAGGTCCAGTTGATATAGCTCAGTGGCTAGAGCACCGGTTGGAAATGCGCATTGTGGTATGAGGTTTTGGGTTCAAAATTCCGCAGCCTCGTGCATGGACACCGGCAGGGCGTTAAAATGACGCATGGCTGGACACACACTCCCCTGGGCTGACGCATGGTACTATTACAGACAATGCCTGCGCATCACCCAGGGGGTCGTCCATGGGTGTTGTATGCTGGTCTAGTCTTCACGTTGGTTGCTGGTTGTTGTTGGCTTTGGTCGCTCTGATGATCTCCCCAGTCCAGACACTACACATTATATCCACTTCCCATGGTAGTACAAGTGGTAGAACCCTCCACACTACACATTATATCCACTTCCCATGGTAGTACAAGTGGTAGAACCCTCCAGTTTCATACTGTGGGTCACAGGTTCGAGTCCGGTTCCGGACTTTGGGGGGGTCCTGTCCAGATAGACCTGTCTCTACCACATACACATACAATGAGATACTACCCCAGATAGCACAATCCATACACACATACTATACATACATATATATATAGCTCAAGGTACACACACACATACATGTACTAGTGGAGGTGGTAGGAGCACCTCTCACCAATACTCAGTACTCACTGCGCAGATGCTCCATGGTGGGGAGCAGCATACAAAAACCATATATATAGCCCACGGGCACACATCTATGTTACAGAGTACATACACACATACACAACCATAGGGTTGGCACATACACAACCATATGGTTGAGAGGAGTTCACGATCAACTGATAATGATGATAAGCGTCTCGATGATAAGTACCCCGCCTTAAAAATACAGCTAGGGTCTGTGGTGGGAGAGTAGAGGGCTTGAGGCACTGGTTAGTCTGCTGGGTTCTGACCGGTGATGATGATAGGCGTCTTGATGATAAGTACCCCGCATTAAATACACAGCTAGGTCTGTGGTGGGAGAGTAGAGGGCGTGAGTTACTAGTTGGTCAATGTAAGGGGCTCACACACACACGCACACACACACACACAAGGGCTGGGTGGAGGTCACGATCAACTGATAATGAAGATGGGCGTCTCGATGATAAGTACCCTGCCTTAAATATACAGCTAGGGTCTGTGGTGAGAGAGTAGAGGGCGTGAGTCACTGGTTGGTTTGGTCGGCTCCAACTGGTGATGATGATAGGCGTCTCGATGATAAGTACCCCACATTAAATATACAGCTAGGTCTGTGGTGGGAGAGTTGAGGGTGTGAGTTACTAGTTGGTTAATTTAGGGGCCAATAGGTGATTGCTTGAGCCTGGCATCCGAAGTACTCGTACGACAAGGCTCGTTCGACTATGCTTCAACCAGGGCTGGGTAGCTAGCCCTGGTGCCTGTCGCTACTGTTTGGTCCAAGTTCCCCTCGATACGTAGGGTGATGGTCCTGAGTGCTGGTCACACTGAGGTAGTATAGTAGGGATAGGGGATGTGCTAGGAGTATTGATGCGAGGATGGGATGGGTGGTGGCCTCGCCTCAGAGCGACCTCGGCTGACCGCTTCCAGCGATCAATGTGTGCCTAGTGACTGGCCTCTACAACACCCTGGACTTTTTCCCGCAGCGCCTAAATTCATCCGACGAGAAATGCTTCTACTCTAATCTTTTTCCCGCAGCCATGTATGGGAAGGGTACTGGGGGTTTAGAGTTAAACGGTTTATATCGGTCATTGTCGCTTCGTCGTGTGCCTCGCTGCGTCCTCCTTTAGCTGCTGATTGTTGCGATACAAAACTTCCATGGTCTTCTTTTTTTCTTTGTTGGGCAGGAACAAGCGAAAGCGAGGAGGTCAGGCAACCGACAACCCTTGCAGCATCGAAGACTGTGGCATTGAGCAAATAAAAGCTTGCAAACAAGATCTGATGGCTTTGGAGAAGGCACTGGGACCATTACATCCTGAAGTAAGTGCCCCCCGAACTCTGCCCATCCCGTATTTTTTCGCATCCCTCAGGGTGTACTCACACTAGGACTTTTTCATTTATTTGTGGACGTAATCGTGGCCAAATATATCTGTGTCCCGGTGATACGTATAAGATAGAGAACTTCCCATTCAGCTCTTTTTGCATCTCGGGGCGTGCTCACAGTAGGAGTGTTTTTAACTTTTTATTATTTATGGTAGTAATCGCCGTCAGATACATCCACGTCCGGCTGTAAATGTGGTCCGATGCATGTAAGATAGTGACAGTGTGAGTGCGCGCTCACTCTCACCCCTTCTTAACCCTGCCGTTGCAATGAATGCAGGCAACGGAACCCCTCCCCCCTCCCCCCAAAAGAACGGGAAAAAATGGGGGGGACGGGGAAAACTGTCCCGGCAGAAAGGTAGGCAGGTAAGTTTGGGTGGTAACTACCCCAAGTATTTCCTTGTTTTATCCCCTCCCTGCTTGTTAGAATGTTTAGGCAAATACTGTTCTCTGGGACGAGGAATTTCAACCGTTTACGCTCACGCGGTAAAATCTTCATTTCATCTTCGCATTTTTGGCACACGTGCTCGTATATTACAGGTTCATCCGTCTATCCATTTGCTTTTTTCGTTTGTTTTAGTACTACTTTGTAAAACACACTGCACATTGTGTTCCAAAAACGGAAAAAGAATAATAGTGGAATTTCTAGGTTTAGATTGTTTTTGTTATTCGTTCAACTTTCCCTGAAGGATGCTGCCACTAGGCTCACTACCTTTGTTGTAATTCATCCGATTCCATGAGAATTTGAACTCGTGCTCTGTTGAATCTGTTCGCTAACAGTTACATTTGTTTACTGCCATTCAGCCTTGTGGGGTCCTGAATCCGGTAACCCTGCAGTCTAATGATACAGCCCTCAACGGTTTTTGGCCCTTACCGTTACAACTTGTAATTTCTCCCTCAAATTGAGATGTCTCTGTGCTCCCATGTCACTCTTGGAACTAACATAAAGCATATACTACTCCTACTCCCACTACCACTACCACCACTATCACTACCGCTACTCCTACTCCCCGTACCACTCCCACCACTACCACCACCACCACCACTACCACTACCACTACCACTACCACTACTACTCCCACTACTACTACTGCTACTGCTACTACTACCACGACCACTACTTCCACCACTACCACTACCACTACCACTACCGCTACTCCTCCCAGTAGTAGTGGTACTACTAATGCTACTGCTACTACCACCACTACTACTACTACTACGACTACGACTACTACTACTACTACAGCTACCACTACCGCTACTCCTACTCCCACTACGACTACTACTACTACTACTACTACAGAAACTACTACAGAAACTACTACTACTAGCACCACCACTACAACTACTGCTACTACTACCACCAGTACTAACACTGCTAGTACTAAAATGGAGGCATGCGCCATATCTGTGCTCTCCAGCTGGTAGTTTCTGAAACAGGCTCTTCTTGGATGCATTGAATCTCTGGTGGTATGGATGACATTGTCTCCACCCTGGACGAACTTCAGATGACGTTGTTTTTCACTCCTGAGCAGGGTAGCTTTGGCGCCTTCCGCCGATGCCTACCCTAGGCGGTAGGCGTGCCTACCAGTCGGGCTGACCCGTAGGCGGACCCGTCGGTGGTTGGCAGACTGCCTTGCAATTTTTTTTTTTTTTTGTGTGATTACATGGTCGTGCACAGCTTGAGGAGAGCAGCCCAAATCCGCAATATGTTTTTGGGGGGCTGGTGGGGGTTATAGGGGGAGGTATGGGGGGTTGTAGGGGGTTGTAGAGGGTTAAGAGGGGGGGTATGATGGTGTTAGGGGGGTGTATGGGGGTTGGGGGGAAGACGGTGAG